TATCTTCTTCATCTGGACTTTTTTCCGGCTCCCGGAGACAAAGGGACGGACTTATGAGGAACTGGATATCATGTTTGCTGAAGGCATTCCGGCGAGAAGCTTTGCGAAGCATACTATCGACGCATATGCTCATGGAGATTATGGTGATCGGAAACCTTCTGCAGATGAACGCATTGAGTGAGAGCTTGGGTAATCGGTGAAGCATATGTTAGATGCTATTTTCGTCCGATCCGGGACGAGAGCGCTGTCGTCAGGAGTAATTTATTCGCATGCCCTAACATGTACGAGAACCATGAAACTCACGTATAGCGTTTGGTATCAAAAAAGTAATTTAACGATGCTCGATAGTGATGCGATGGTAACAAAACATGGAAATTGTAAATGATATAGTAACATAAATTCTTGAGAGTAGTAGGAGTGTAGAAATTGAACGTCAAGTTATGTTTCACAGCTCATCTCTTCCGTCTTTAGCCTTCACCTTCAACGCCTCGACTATGAACTTCACTTCCTTATCCCCCGTGTTCGTATGACTGATCTTCCCAATCACAGCCCCGTCCTTCGGTTCGTTCGAGTAGTTCTCTAAACCATCAAACACACCCTCACACTCCTCTCCACCCTCGTCAGCATCGTCAACCCACAAAGGGAGTATCGGGTAAATCGCCCCTGGTGCGAAGAAAACCATATCGTCCTGGACGCTGTAGTGTCGTTGTAGCGACTCGCGCTTGAGCCACTCTCGTACTTTGTACGGCATGTCTGCCATATTCATCTTGATGAGTTCACGCCCGGTACCGTGGACGTCGATGCCCGCCCAGGAGCCGGCGTAAAGTTGCTTGTTGTAAAAGACTTTGAGTTGGGGTGCTTGCTCTTTCAGATCAGGATATAGCTCATTGAGCTTGTAGATTTTGGCATTGTAGGTGTTTTTGTTGCGGCAGTGTTGGGTATAGGGTTTTAGGGTGTTGCTGTCCCATTGTGCGGTCCAGAGTGCGCCTACAGGATTTGGCTCGTCAGCTGCTGGAGAGGCTGCGGCTGGAGGTGTGGAGGATGAGGATGAGGCGTCTTCGGCGGCATATACAGTCGCTACCAGGAGCGCTGGTGATAGCAGGGAGAGGAACCTCATATTGCAATCGATCGAATTCCTGTGCGTCGGAGTGAAGCGATGCCGGGCGATCAGAATATGTGGTAGTGGAAGTTTCAGCGTTTTGACTGTATGCAAATGTCACGTCGTACCGCGTTGCCATCCCAAATTATATATCCATGATTCAATTTTCTTGCGTTCTGTCCTTTTCATTCCGCGCGAGATCCCATGACGTCTCCGCGTTGATGTTCCGCTTTCCATATTAAGGGCCAGGGTTGTTAGCGACGCGACAAGAACGCGATAGATTAAAAGAACACCGTGGAAGAGCGCTGCAATGATGATCGGCGTATACTTCGCCGAGAAATCGCCCACCGCACGCGCTTCGTTGTCGTAAGTTTCGTGCTTCCGAATAGTGGAGATTGGAGCGTGGATGGACGCGGGGGCGAAGCTTCCATTGGAGAGCTAGCGCCCGCACGTGGAGAAGGGGCTATTGCCGCTCGTTTGCATGAGACCGGATTGCTGCTCTTATCGTTTTCCTTGTTCGGCATCCCTCATAAGCCCACCGTGGATGATGCCGTCGACATGGCTTGGCCTAGGAAAAGACACTCCTCGCCCTTCAGCCGTAACACGAATAGTGTTTCCCTTGTGTATAACACCGCAAAGATATTGCCAGCCCGCATATACCCCCGAACCAAGATCAAAGTCTCCTTCCTAAGTCCAGAGCAAACAACGCATCTGTCAGTTTGTTTCGGCGACATATCGATATCGAAGTGCAGGTCGCTCAAACTGCCTCACTCACAGGTAAAGCATGCAACCACACGATGAGATTCTTAAAGTAAAAACCTTTTCGGCTCCCCCCAAACACTATTCGGCTCCCCCCTACTCTAACTTCTCTGTTTTAGAAGATAGAGACTAACTTTCTATTACGAACTTAAGGATATAAGCAAGATAAACAACTCTACAATAGAAAGTCAGTCTTTATATCTTGAAATTAAGAAGTTAGAGGTATATAAACCTAAGGATTTTGCTAGTAAAACCTACCTACATCTTCTTTTTTTCTAAAGTGTATTATTTTACTTTACTTTGTATTACAAAGTTGTAGGGCTATAGAAAGGAAGCACCTTTGCTATATAAAGTTTATTTCTATCTCTTATATTAAAGAACTTAGGTAGGTAGAGATTGCTTTCATCTGATCTTTTGGGGTGAGCCAAATAGTGTATGGGGGGAGCCGAAAAAGTTTTTCCTTCTTAAACTCTTTGTAGAAGCTGCTCAGTGATCTATGTCAACTTCTTGAACTAAATCTCGCTATGAAAGTGCGGGCTAAACCGCGCAAATTCTCGTCTCGAAATTCATCACTGGAGCTAATCACTTCGGAGACCTCCGCGGCTGGATTGTGTTTGCCATAACCCTGATTTACGAGATCGTAAAGATCAGGTAATGGATTTGTAATGCTCGCTATATCGTGGGTGACCCTGGCAAGGCGGAATCCTCTTCTTTGGGATTGCGCGTGGCACGAGGATCAACTAAACGTCTGCCGCACGCGTCGCGAGGCTGCGATCTCGATGAGGCCGTTCGTAGTGCTGTGGGTATCGATTTAATCGTGCGCGGCCCAGTTGGTATAGTTTCGAATGATCTGTGAATGTCTCAAAGTCTGTATTGTTGGTACAGGACTTACTGAAGATGAGGTGTGCCGGTTGTGGGGTGGAATCTTGCGTCAGGCAAGACGGCAAACCTCACCGCGCTAGCTGGAGGGTGGCTTACACTCGACCCACTAACAAGAGCTTAAACAACAGCCTTACCCGGACAATCAAGATGTAATGCACTTTGCAGCTGGGACAAACATCTGACACATCTGAATCTCCATTATGATCAAATATACAAGTCATATAGCATTTTATGTTCAGCCCTACCCGTCTTGATCGTATACGCACTATTCCAACACCAATTACTCATTATCTGGTTTCTATACTTTTGTTTGTCTGACAAGCGGCTTCAGTCCCGGGAGCGCAACGACGATGATTGAGAGAGTCATCTCTACCATACTCAAAGGATCTATGAGTGAACACGTTAGCTTGAATGTCGCGTACATGAGACGTAGTACTAAAGTGGTGGACTTACAAACAAGGTTTTCCTGCCCTGTTCCAACCTTGAGGCAGACGAAGCGCACGATACCAGAGGCAATAGTAAGCGCTCCCAACGCGAAAGTAAGGCCAACACCGGTCGAGGACCTGAGTATACCCTTCACCAAAAGCACCACAGGAACGGCGTAAACCACAAGATAGCAAGCCAGGTTCAAAGTGAAGTTCAGAATGAACGGCTCCGGCGCATAGAAGACAGAACATGCGCCTTCTTCTTGAGACCACTGCACAGATACAGGCGTGCCGCAGAAGAAGGTGTCATCGAAGAGGATAGTGAGGTAACTCGCGACGACAAAGGCTGTGATACCAAAGAGCATCTTGCGCAGTCCCGGGTGACCGGACAGATTGAAGAATACCCAGTAGAAGGCTAGCATGCTGAGTTTCGGGAAACCCATACCGACATCGTAGAAGTAATTCGAGGCGAAAGAGATCTGCGGAGCGGGTTAGCCGAGTATGAAGTGCGATAATATTAATGATGAACTACCTTTGACAGCTTCTCTGACGTTTCATAATTGTCCAAAACGCCCATCTTGTATGTGAGCGTGTCGCAGATGATCAGTCCCAAAGCAACCAGCGCAGATGCAATCAATAGGTAGTCCGACGCGTCCAACTTCGAATGGAGACGAAATAAACGCGTGTACATGCGCGCAGCAACGAACAGGTATGCGAAAATCAGGAGGATCCATTCCGAGATCTGTTACATTACGACTTGTCAGCATTGTGATCTTTCAGTAAACCATGTAGTGTTTCCTATGACATCGGCTTACCATGCAGTCTTTCCCGTCAATGTAGTGTGCCATCTTCGCTGCTGTAGTGTGACAGAACACTTGCGAAACAAAGGATAAAGCCAACGAAGAGTGGTTCGCTCGCTTGACCAGAGAATTGCAAGGCGTATGTATATGAACCACATTCCATCCCATGCAGGGTACTATATTTTGCCGAGCATACATCATGCCATAGCTACTGGAGACACCTCTGGGCGTACAGTTGTGCCGCCTATCATGCGAAACTGTTACCGGACATCAGTCCTGGACTGTCAAGATGCATATTAGCTCGTTCGCCCTGCATGCATGCGCGCGGAAAACTGCCTGTAATCGAGGCGCTTCAGGAGCCGTGTTAGATGGGCTGATCCCAACTATGACCCTTGTGCCTCGACGGCTGTACCGTCTCGGTGGGTTTGGTCGATAGCGGGAAGGGCTTTTTAGGCGGATCGCATCCGGTTTCATATCTTTCATGTTCCATTTGGCGTAGTAGATTGTTCCACGTCGATCGAGTATATGCACATCCTGCGTCGTTGTTGCGTTCGCGCAGCTTTTGGCTGTTAGCAACAAGCAAGATCAAGCATTGAAGGTGTCATCCCCTGTTCGGTTAGGCGAACCGGTGGGTGAAATTTGCCAAACGAGGCCTCCCACAGGCGAAGCCGTCGGCCAATGCCGACCCACAGAGTAACGGCAGGATTGCGGCACAGGTAACAAGTATTTTCTGAGGTGCGTGAGGACTCTTGGGTTCACGGAGTGATATACAGTTGCAGCTCGGTTGGAGGAGTCTTCCATCAGGCGTGGCGCTCGGTGGCTTGTGCGGACCGCTGTCAGCGGAATGAGGTGCGATCCTTCCGGCTCGATGCAAGCGGCCTGCTCGACGGCACAGGGTCCATCCAGATGTCTAATGTTGAGATGATCCGGCTGCTAAAACTCGTACAAATGGACCTGGCCCGATCCTTTAATTCTTGTTGCCTTGGCTGGTTCTAACTACAGCTCTACTGCAAACACCCACCCCCTGAACCGTTCTCACGGGTACTTTGCAGAGCTGTCGTGCTCTTCATCCTGCGACTTCGAGAACTGTACACTAACGCGATGAGTCTCGTAGATCACATCCTTCCTTGCCATGGTATTAAGCTCCACTTCGCTGCCTGAGTCTTCATCGGTGTGTACACGAACGCTGTGCTTGCCTCTTCTGGAAGGTCGCAAGAAGTTGTGCGAACCTGATGCTGGTGTTTGGTGCCCATAGGTACGAGACTCGGAAGAACGCGACTTCTTGTTGGAGGAAAATAGGGTGCCACGTCGCAGGAAGGATCTCATCGACGGTAACGAAACCACCATGATCGCGACAGCCATTTCAGCCATGGAAAGGACATCTAGACAAACGTCAGTCTGGGTCGTAATGTGGTAGATTGCATCAACCTACAGACGTTGGTCCAAGCATATATGACCTCTATCGTTGCAAAGCGGACCATACTCATAGCTATGGTAACGGCACCGAGTGAGAACGTTGCAACAAGACCCCAGATCTGGCGACGGCGAAGCTGCAGTGAGCGAAGAAGCGGAAATGGCAAAGCAAAAACTATCGTTCCGAAGTTAGTGTTCAGAGTGCTTCGTGAATGGTATGCTGCGGCTTACTGAACAAATCTGATGTGACATTGAGGCTCCAATCGATCCGAAAAACTTCTTTTGAACTGAAGGTGTTGCATGCTCCCTCATCAGGAGACCAATTCTGAGAGACCTGGCGCCCGCACCAGAAAGTATCAAGAAAGAACGTCGATATCATGGCAGTACCGGTAAACAAGGTTACCGCATAGAGTGCTTTTCGCAACCACGGCATCGTTGGCGGAATGAGCCTGAAGTACAGCGCGAGGATGGCCAGCTTTGGCCAGTAGATACCGGTGTCGTAGAACGCATTTCCAGCGAATTGTACCTATGAGTGTCAATTGTTCCGTCTGATCCATGCTACCAAGCTGCCGATTTACCTTCTTAAGCGCAATCACACGAGCTACCGATGGCTCTGGTACATCGTCCGACATGCCTCCCCATGTGTATGTCAGATAGTCGGTAACGAAGAGCCCGATGGCATCCAGGATAGATGCTATCAGAAGGCTATCGCTGACAGTGGGACATTGTCGTTGCAGAAAGCGGGGAACCAGCCGACCAGAGGCCACAAGCATCGCGAGAGCCAGAAGAGTACCCTCGATGGGCTTTTCAGGTGCATTAGTAGACGGAAAAAAGTAGAGTAAAGTACTTGAGACATACAATTACAGACTCTGGAGCAACGCCGTTCGCCATGATTGAGGAGAACAAACAAATATACCATGAAGTAATCAATAACAACAGGAATCGAGAGAGGAAGTCAGACAAAGGTAGTCTTGTGGTTTCTAAGAATCGAGAGCATCGCTTGGGTGTATACAAGCTCGTAAGACGGACATGTATCGGGTCCGTCTCGCCATCTACATAGCGACTGTACCTGGTTGCTGCGATCGTACCACACCTTACTGCTCGCTTGGCAATTTGCGCGGAAATAATCAGTATGTCTGCATGCCGGGACCTGCAGTCACAGAGTTGGTACGGAACGACATGGGTGTATATGTTAACGCAGGGATCTTTGTTGAACGGTAAAGGGAAGGCCGAGGCGAAGGATCACGGCGCAGCCCAACAGGGCGTTTACCTGCCTTCCTATACAATGCAAATTCGCAGCTAATGGGAGCTAGTATCGTGTTGTGCCGCAAGAGAAATAATGCGGCCTGCATGCGAGGACGTTGCACTAGGTTTCTCGACGGCCATTACGTTATGCTTGGGATTCTTCTTCTTCGTTGCTACAGCGTTTTGTAGAATTTCTGAATCCGAACGGGGCTGCTTCTTTTGCTTCTTTGAATTTATCATGGGATGGCTGGATAGTGTGAAACTGATCTCGCGTCGCGATCATGTCGCGCTTTCGCGGCTACGCTCACCTCTTCTTCAAAGCAGCCTCAGATTCTGCAGGCTTTCTTCAGCGATTGTGTTCGCTACCGCTTATTTTCCGTGAGTGTTGAGACAAATATCAGACGGGAAGACGTTCGGCCGTTGATGCAATGAGGATCGAGACGGTTTAGTAGAGATCACGCAGCGCGCGCCATCATAGCGCGCCGGAGCGATGACGTAACACTAACGCCAACCTCCCACGAGAGAACCCAACGCGCATACCACAACAGAACGACCCCGCTACACAAATATGCCTGACAATTCCGAATCAGTTCCTTCTACTCACAGCTTCCTCGCGCTAGTATTCGTCTCGACCCTCTTCGCAGGCTACATCATCCTCCCAGCAGCCTTCCCGCAACCCAGGACAAAAGACGAATACACAGGATGCATAGAATATCCGGAATATTGGGATTGCCCAGGAGATTATGTTGATACAGAACCCGAAATCATACAACTTCCTCTTTTACTCTATCTCTCTGCCTTGGCCTGCAGCACAGGCGTATTAGGTTGTTTGTGTCTATGGTGGAAATACCAGAGGAACTACAAATGGCTGATGAAGAGGATCTTGATGCCAGCTTTGTGTAATAGTTGTGCGGGGCTTTGGTCAGCACTTGTGATCGCAAACGACGCGGAGAAGAGAGGATATAGCAGGACTATGAGGGTGGCTATGGTTGCTCCATCGGCTGGGTCAGTGGTGGCCGCGGGATTAGGTTTGGGGTATTATGCTGTGATGTCGTGGCTTTCTAAGCGAGGGCAGGACGTGAAGCCTGCAGCTTTAGAAAGAGGCAAGAAAAATAGGCAGGATGAGGATAGCTAGTCAGTGTATACGTAAGTTAGAGTTTGGATCTAAAAGACATTGGGTATCAAGGAACAAAACGCCAGCATCGATGTATAATGCACGACAACGCTTATCATACATTCTTACCCGCCTCTTGCTTCTGCTCGGCTGCTTTTGTCCTCTTCTTTGGCTCACTTGCCGCGTGCGCAATCGCTTTTACCATGTTGAAGAGAAAGATGCCGATAAAGACGATAGTCACAAATGCAAGCACAGCAACTACGGAAATCTGCATAGAGGGTCAGCTACTTTCTCTTGTGTATCATCGATGATCTGATACGTACCATGCTAAACACAACGAAAACATAACTGGCGCGAAGGAATGCATAGTTATCTTCGAGTTCTTTGAGGCCTGAACCGACTTGCATAGCGGAAAGGACGAGACTGAAGAAGACGAATACGATAAGGATCCAAGAGAAGTTTCGCTGGAAGAAGATCACGTAGCGATTGTATCCGTATCTATGCGAAATTGTTAGCCAATATATCCTATCAAAGCCTCTATGCCAACTTGTTCCCATCGGCAAGGATGTACTTACAGATATCCTCTTACAAAGTGCGTATGTGCATACCGTATCCGATAGGTGCTGTTGATTCTTCCCAACCTCAAATCGCCGAACTGATACCGCTTATTCACCTGATGTAGTGTGTTGATATCCACATGGTGCATGAAATCCCTCACAAAGTCTTTCCACCAGTGCCAAGTTATGAAACTTGGCAGGAGCGTGCATTCGTGTGCAATCTTCAAGTCGAGTGGTGTAGTGATGAGCCACACATAGCTCACCAAAAACCCTGCGGCACTCTTCCACAGCCAGCCTTCTTCTCTCTTGACATTGTTGTTAGAATCAGCATCGCCTGGTTGACAGATGTGCTCTCTCCAAAAGTCATAGCTGAGCATCCACTCTGGCAGCGGCTTGACTAGCAGTTTGTTTGAATATTTCAACAAATGTAGGTCCATTTGTTGTGTGCCTAGCACTTCCATGCCCAGCATCCTGTATCTGTGCAACGGTCTAGCGCGCATCGGCCGGCCTGCCATCCATAGGTGTCCATGTATGCGATTGAGGCGCGAGAGATCGAGATCGTGTTTCAGGAACTGGCGAGGGTCATCGTTGGCAAGGTATGCCTCGTTGTTCCTGCCGCTTATGGTGGGAAGAGAGTCTTCCGGCGTTAGCGGTATGGTTGTGACTGAGTCCAGCACAGGCTGCCCGCTCGCCAAAGCGTGACCCTGGTTGGGGTCGATATGACCATTTTGATGCACGAGTTCACGTGCTGTGGGGTTGCTGGAGTTGGCAGCCGTGGAGGGAGGTGGAATCGGACGAGAGGAGAAGGGTGGTCTCAATGCGCTGCTCTGTTACCTGTAAGCATTCGTCCAGCCTGTTCCAACGTCATTATGCAGTACGTACAGTCTGTTCAGTCGTCTTCTCGTTCATACTGCACATCAGCGATTATTTCAGATAGTCTTATGAGGGATGAAACGCAGCGCAGGGCTCTATATGATGCTTGACGCCGGCAAGCCTGCTGCGGCTGTAGCACGAGGCTCACATATGCAGGCACACCGCGCACGAGGCAGGCGCATCATGACACGGGCAGGCATCAACTCCGCCTTCTCGATGGCGCGCGGGAGCTACGCACTAGAATGTGGGGGCTGAAGACGGGGGCTAGACTGCTCCTGAGGCTGAGTCTTGGTATGGCAATGAAGATGCAGCCTGGGAGCTTGATTGGTGAGCAGATTCGTGCGCACTATTTATATCGGCGGACAGGTACCAAGCCACCACCACCACCACTACTACCACCACAAGGAGAGACGCGGTCTGCTTTGACATGTCACTCGCGTCGACTCCCAGTCTGAGATGGCTGACATTACACCACAACTACACTATCGGGAAGTGTTGCAAGCTGGCATACTGTTGCTGTTGGAGCACGAATCCATGCGCAATCTGCATCAAGACGCAAGAGCTGTTCATTCTGCCTTAACTTGAGTCCACCTTAGTCGTTCTGCAGCTGGTTCGTGACACCAACAAAACTGCTGAAACGCCATAACACCACCTTCTAATGCAGTTTTGGATATCATTGAAGTTCTTCTGTCCCCTACACTCGCACATCGCCCAAAGCTGGCCAAACTCATTTGCAGTAGTTGGCGGGAAAACTGCCCTTTTGTCCGTGTATCTCGCCCTCCCACCAGTCTTGCGAGCTTTCAGTCTTCTTCACCACGCGAATCCGGTCGCCCTCTCTAAAATTTAAGTCGCCAGGAGTAAGACTGTCGAAATCATACATGGCCGTCACGTACTCAGACTGAAACGATCCAATCTTCTTAGGGGGCGGTGGAGGCGGCTTTTTCTTCCCTGCTGCTGGGTTAGGCGATGAGGGATAACCGCTTGGAGTCGATCCATTCGAGGCAGGGGTTTTGTTAAAGTAGGAATCACCATTTGTTCCATTTGAGTACGAGGAAGCCTGGGAGGTGGAGGAGGCACGGCGGCCATACATGTCCTGACCAGCGCTCAGATGGGGCGAGCCACCTATCTTTGGCTTCGAGGCGCTAAGAGAGCTGTATGAAGGCTTGCTAGAGAGGCTTATAGGTGGACCGCTTTCGGAAGTGGACGAAAGGGTCTGGGACGGTCGCGCAGGTCGTCCGCCTCCGGTGATGGTAGGCACACTGTCGTTGCTGCTGGCTCTCCTACCAGGCATGACCTTATTTCTAATGCCTAGGCCTGTCAGTGTATCTCCCTTGTCCGGTAGTCGCATCGGCATGTGGACTGCCTTGCCGGTCTTGAGCAAGCCCAAGCTTGTCTCCATCTCCTGGCGCAGTGGTGTGAAGTTTGAGTCCCATAATGGTATGACTTCTTCCGGCTCAGGTGGTGGGTCGGGGTATCCTTGCTCGTGTGAGTACTGGTGCAGTACAGTATACAAGTTCCCAATCAAGTTATTCTGTAGGACGATCTGGTTCGCTAGGAGGTGTGGTAGGATTGAGAAGGTCGCGGCGTTCAGACGTGGTAGACGTTCTCGTAGATTCTCGTCAGCAAGCTGGTATGCGTGGGTAGAGCGCTCGAGATCGACTTCGTGTTTGGCGAGAGCGCTGTTTTCGCGCTCCGAACGCGTCTTCTTAGCCTGGAGGGCTTCGCAGCGGCTCTTGTAGCGCTCATAATCGACCTATTATCGCTTTGTCAGTACATCCGATAGCGCGACTCGGAGGCTGTCTGACCTTCGCATCTTCCCGCTTCTTGATAGCCTTCTCCATGGGCTTCAATGCATCTCGAGCGAGCTTCGCCGGTATGACCAGTTTCCTGTCGATGTCTTTGACCTCCTCCATCATATCCGTCTTCAGTTCCGAAAAGGCCTCATGGAGGGCGTGGACACGCTCCAGGACGGCAGACGGAGTTTCGGCATGTACATGGGTGCTGTTGGAGCCTTCGCCGCCGAGTGGTTTGAAAATGGTGTATAGTAGCTCGACCGAAGTGAGTTGATGGTTGAGGATGTTGGTCCACGCGTCCCGCCATTGCTTTGCTGACGCTTCGAGCTGGGCGACGAGTTAGTCCAAAACTCGGCAACGAAGTGAAGAGCCGATTCCTGTGCTGGATAGATAGGATGCATTGCGTCCATTGACGTGGATGGCTGGTGTAGGACTTGATGGGATTAGGGATGGCCCCACTAGTTCATAGGACCGAACAATGTGAGATGACAAGCCACATCGGACGTACCTTTTCCAACATAGTCTTGGAGTCGTTGAAGTCCTTCAACATGGATTCGACATCGGCTTCATTGGGCGTCCTCGTGAGGAAACGCCCCGTAATCCTCTGCATGCGCTGCATCTTGCGACGTGAAGGCAGCAATTGTGTGCGAGGTAGGCCTGAAGTAAGAAGAGGACAGAATAACCCAAGTAATGGGCAGCAGGCAGTAAGTAATGCTCGCGCGTCCACTAGCGGTGGCTGTGCTCAAAGCCGTGTGGTAATTGAGGTGAAGGTGAGCAGGGGTGATAGATGGCCCCGCACCAGTTGTCGCAACAACTCGCTGCCCGCTTAGACCAGTTTCTAGTCTAAAGGTGGATTGTGAAAGTCGTCGCGGAGAAGCTTAGTTTGCTAGAGCTAACTCGCAGCAACGAGAAGCGAATTGTGGCTATACCCGGTGCCCGCATTTGGTTTCCTCAGCTCGGCACCGAGAACAGAGTTGCTAACAATCAATCCAAACTGATGAGACTGACTGACTGACTGATTGCTTGGCAGTCAGTTCAGTGTCAGTTTAGAGCTCTCGTCTTATCAGTCAGTTCAGTTTAGAGCTCTTAAA